CATGAGAATACTGATTTTGATAAAGTATATATTAACTGGAATATATATATATATAATATATGTTTTAAATATACAATTGATTATTTTAAAATCTAAAAAAGTAAGTTGTCATGCAGATTGAAAAGAAACAGTCTTTTCTAAGATAGAAGCTTAAATCTAATTTAAATTTTTATATAATAAATCATATATATTCATGGATATAATTATATATATATAATTTATTTATATCTATATATATATATAATATCGGTCGCCCAAAATTTATTTATAAAAAAAAAAGCTGAAGAAAAAATCAAATATGTCAATATACCTCATTTCCTCGAGCGAAGCCAAATGAATGCAGTGGGTAGAGAATTGAGATCAACGTGTTTTAGTGAACTCGGTGGTTTTCAATCTGTTAATATCTGAATCGTTTGCAAAAAACGAGAGCAAAAAAAAAAGGTCAGCCAATCTAACAGTGATTTTCATCGCACAAACTCTCAGAATTGCTCCATATGTGGACTTCCTTTTTAAATCAATTACGTATCTTAAGTGCCACTTTAAGATTATCGCACAAAAAATTCATAACTGAATCAATTGTTAAAAAAAGAAGAAAATGATTTTCATAAAATGAAAACGACAGGAGAGTCTTTTATATATATATATATATATATATATATATATATATTTTTCAAAATTCATTAAAAACGGCAGTCAAATACACTAATGCCTATCCAGACGTCTTATGTTACACCTATCCGATCACAGCTCTATTAGAACCCATTTAAACACACGCACAAACTTACCAGATTCCATCCAAAACATACCAGTAGAAAATACAAACATAATAACCTCACCTACATATAAAAAAAAACATGAAAAATAAGGGAAGCCTTAATAATAAAAAAAATCCAACACTTAATTATATTAGCTACGAACACGGTCACAATGTGCTGTGTTCGGAAAATAAAACATCTCTATAACACTAAAAACATATACATATACAATTTTGACACAATGTTTATAAACTTAAAATAAATAAAATCATCCTTGATAATGGCTAAAAGTATAGCCAAAAGCGCTTGGAATTATATAACATTTGAACAGTTTCTACACACTCTGTGTCCCCAAAAAAGAAAACACTTGTTCTAACACATGAAAAATTAAATAAAAATCTTAATCGCAATACCTTGTGTGTCGTTTTTAATGAAACATGCATAAATATAAGGATCGATATAAATATACATATATATATATATATATATATATATATATATAAATATTATTTATATATATATATATATATATATATATATATATATATATATATATATATATATATTCAAAATATGTTTAATACTGTTTATTATAAACAGAGCATTTACTTAAATACTTGTATCTATAAAAAGAATGTTAAACATAAAATGTTCTTTTTAAATTGTTTTCTTTATTCCATTCCTTAATATATATATATATATATATATATATATATATATATATATATATACAAAATCTACAAGTACAAAAAAGAATATATGACAGTAGTAACAACAATGACAATAAACTAGATAAAAGAAGCTTATAATATTACCTACTAATTACTTAAGATTCTATCTAAAACAATTAATTTGATCTTAACAATATCAAAATAATTACAACTTTTACCAAAACTATTTGAATATTAATCAAAACCAAAAATCCATAACAATAATAATTCTTTATAAGTATATATAAAATAAACTGTCACAACTATTCCTTAAATATATATCATTTTTCTTCTTGACAGATTAATTTTATTTTCTTGGTGTTTAAAGGTTTAAAATGAATTATTCATTGTTGGTTGTTTTGAATAATACGGTATAGCATCTAAAATTTGTAATCTTTGTTTACAATTTGTTTTATTCAGACAAAAGAGCAAAGGCTTATAACAATACTAGCTTATTTGGCAGTTTCAATGACAAAACATGAGAATACTGATTTTGGGAAGTGGATTTAACTTATCAGCAACCCCTCATAGAATATGGTTTGTCGACGAAGAATTAGTAGATTTTCTGTTGTCACAATGTGGGATAGTCAGGGATAAAGATGAAAAAAAAAAAAAAAAAAAAGAATACAGATGAATTTGGCTATTTTGAAAAATATTATTTCAAAAATTTTGAATCTACTAGCGTCTCTCGTTTCGTGCGCATGTGTAGACGTGCCAACATCAACAAATTCCAGTCCGATGAAATCCTAACGGATGAAACGCATCACAAAAAAACTTTTTTTCAATTTGTCGATATATATATATATATATATATATATATATATATATATAAATTTAATGTGATCATAATCAACTTTAGGCCTGATGATTGCATATAGCATGAAACAGACTGTCCTCTAAGTGTTGACTTAAATGTTCACTTTATATTTACACACGCTCTATCCCTGATATTGAGCACTTTACCCCATAATTAAATATAATATCTTAAGACTATATATATATAACTATATATATTTTAATATATATAACTATATATATATATATATAACTAATATATATATATATATATATATATATATATATACCTATATATATATATATATATATATATATATATATATAACTATATATATATATATATTATATATATATATATATATATATATATAATTATATATATATATATATATATAAATATATATATATATATATTTATATATATATATATATATATATATATATATGAAAATAATTTATTTTTAAAATGTTTACCATATACATTAGGTGGAATGTGCAAAAGTTTCCAGCGTTTCTATATAACTTGTTCTGGGGAAAATACACCCCACACACACATACATACATATATATATATATATATATATATATATATATATATATATATATATATATATATATATATATATATATTGCATATATTTAGTAGTATGTTTTCATTAAGACATTTCATTAAATCATTTACAAATGTTTCGTCTACTTATTTTTAATAGAATCCTCTCGTAATTAAAAAGAAGGTTTTTAGTATCCTTATTAAAGGAAGAAAATTAACATGTTTATATATATGTTGATATTCCGAGTACTTTCGACATTAGTACAATACATTAGCAAACAAGACCCTAGTAACGAGTACTATTAACACAATATAGAATTTGAAATATTAAATGCTAAAACTGATTCACAAAAGAGCGCTCAATGTTTATTTTCATTAAACAGAGCAAACTTTTTCGTACAATTGGAATTAAGATACGATTAGTTAATGACCATTTTTACCTACGAATTTTAAAATTTTTCAAACTCTTTATGCTGTCAAAAGATATCATAAACAGTTTGAAAAATCCTGTCAGTGGACACCATAAACAGTTTGAAAAATGGTGCGAATTTTATATTTTAAAATTCGTAGATGAAAATAGTCATTAACTAATGGTATCTTAATTCTAATTGTACGATATATATATATATATATATATATATATATATATATATATATATATACACACGAGAGTAAGCTAAAATGTCTTTTGTCTAAAATGATATTCACCTGACAAATTTTAATGTTTTGTTATTTGATAAAATTTTTATGAAGTGGGTATTGCCGATAACTTTTCAGCATCACCTCTCATCTCTATCTATCTATCTATATATCTATATATATATATATGGGTAACTATACTTGTTTCGAAAAACCTTCGAATTTTTGATTTGCCAATAATCAAATCAATCTCGAGGGAAAAAAGGTTTTAAAAAAGAAAGAGCTAGAAACATGAAAGTCTGTCGAAAAAAAATCGCACAGATACAGGTTTGAAGCCCAAAGAAAAAAAACCCGACACGAGTAAACAACTAACTAACTAAAAGAGCTCAATACAACCGTAGAGCAGATCTAGATAAACCTAGTGAAATCTACCCAGGTTTCACCTCAGCGGATCGTCAGGGAAACCTTTCCCTGACGATCTGCTTAGGTGAAACCTGGGTAGGTTTGTCTGGCTTACTAGGTTTATCTATCTATCTATCTATCTATATATATATATATATATATATATATATAGAGAGAGAGAGAGAGAGAGATAGATAGATGTTTGTGAGTTAAAAACTCTTTGGCCTAAGATCTTATTTACGCAATAAATTCTAATGTTTCGTTATTTGATAAAAGAATGACCAACATTAACAAATATTCCTTCAAAGAGTGTATTGCCGAGAAACTTTCAGTACCACCTCATATATATATATATATATATATATATATATATATATATATATATATATGTATTTGTGTGTGTGTGTGTGTGTGTGTGAGAGAGAGAGAGAGGGAGAGCAATAGTCATGAAAATATATATAAATATTACAGAATGAAGAGACCGTGAGGTTAAAGACATTTTAATATAGAAATTAGAAATATAGAAAGAATAACAAAGTGATATCAAGTATCATAAAGACAGTACACATAATCTCCATAGAATTGGAACATTTTTTTCGCCCCATTCGTTATATTAAGGCCTGATATGGGGGTTAATTTTTTTTTTATCACAAACACAAGTGCGGAAGATATCTTACAACGTGGTTTAATCCAAATTTCTTTCAGTATACTCATCGTCGAGTTAACTTCCTTTTGGTTAAGCAACGTTTTCTTTTTCGTTTTTTTTTTTTTGTAATTTTAAAAGACGAGTTGCTGTTTCCCCGTTATAGATTAACGAATAGATATGAACAAGAAAAAATTACTCTGGCGTTTTATGGACGACGCTCTTCTGACTTGGAGGTATAAATAAAAATCAACGAATATATTTGTTCACAGATATGGCAAAGTACTCGACAGTTTCAGAGTTTTTTCTGATGAAAATTGAAGGCAAAAATTTTAGTATTAGTCATGACTATTTTGGGTTCGCGTATATTTTTAGTCGTTTATTTTGTTTTATTCTTTCTTTCATTTTTTTTTCTATTTTGTAGCTTCTTTGCTTCTGTCATTCTGATAACTTTTCAAATTAAAAACATTTTGTTCATATTTTTTATGGATATTCATTTTTAGTATTTATCCTTTTTTTCAATTGCTTTTTTTCATCCCTTTTTTTTTCCTTCTTTCTTTTCTCATCATTTGATTTCTTTCTATTTTTCTTTTCTTTTTCCTTATTTATTTTTCCTTTCTTTATTTTTTCTCGTTTTCTTCCATATTTTTCTTTTCATTCCTTCTTTCGTTCATTCTTTCCTTTTTTCTTTCTTTCTAAAGTTATTTTTTCGTTCACATTTTCTATTCATTTTTTTCTTTACTTTCTCCATTTTCTTTTTTCCTTCTTTACTTTTCCTTTCTTTTTTTTATATTTTTTCGCTCTTTCATATTTTTCATTCTTTCTTTCTTATTTGCTTGATTTATTTTCCTTTCTTTTTTCTTTCTTTCTTTACTTTTTCTTCCTTCCGTCTTTTTTATTTTCTTTCTTGTTTGATTTTTTTTCTTTCTTTCTTTTTTGCAAGTTACATTTTTCTTTCAAAATTCCTATTTATTTTTTTTCTTTCTTTCTCTTTTCATGCTTTGATTTCTTCCTATTTTTCATTCTTTTCATTCTTGACTTATCTTTCTCGTCTTCTATACTTTTACCACGTCCGTATTTTGCTCTTCTTTCTTTTCTTTTCAAAATTGCTTATTTTTTCGTTCTTATTTTTTGTTTATTTCAAATTGTTTCTTTAAATTATTTTCCCCATTCTCTTTCTTTTTCCTCATTTAATTTTTTCTTTTCTTTATAGCTTTCTGTATTTTCCCCATTCCTTCTTTCTTTCTCTATTTACTCTTTTTTTCTTTCGCTTTCACATTTTTTTCATTTGTTTTTTCCGTATTTAATTTTTTCATCCATCTTCAATTTTTTCCCTTTTGTGCTTTTATTTTTTTCACATTTGATTATTGTAAAATTCCAAATTACAATATTTGATTTCAAAAATTGCATATTTATATATTGAAATTATAATTATTATTGTAATAATTATAATAAATTATTATTATTGTATTAACATTGATGATTTTAATATTTTATATTTATTCATATATCAATTTGTTAAAGTTATGCTTTTCATTTTTTTTTTTTTTACATATTTCAACTTTTTAATTTTCAAAAATAAATTCGGTGTTAGATGAAGTTGCATTGTAAATGCGAGGACGCTATATAATAATTCCTTTCCCGCGCCAGTAAGAATGACCAACATTAACAAATATTCCTTCAAAGAGTGTAATGACAGACGAAATAATCCCAAAAATAATGAGGCACTCTTTTTGCTGTAAAAAAAATCGTCGGCAGCCGACTTCATTGAAGTTGTCATGCGCAATGGCGACTGTCCCACAACCGAGATAGACCTGGCGACAGCACGAGTCAGGTACGATATTATCTCCCAGGAACTGGTACCAGATTCGGGGGTTAAGGTCCCCGCAGCAATTGAAATGCCGTTGGACTGTATTTATATCGGAGAGAAGGCCGAAAGTTGAAGAAGGTGAGAAGTATTGAGTCTTTCCGGTCATGACGTGGGCGAGGACACATGCGGTTAAAAACAGTGCCACACCAAGTCCCAGAATGGCTCCCGGAATCAGAACCATGCAACAGAAGGAAGAGTTCTGACTCTTTGTATTTTCTTCGAATCGTGTCAGTCGAACAAAACCGATCAGATGTAGGACTGTCATTATAGAACCAAGTGTCATTGCTGCCACCGGTAATTTATAACCGGTGAGCGGGTAAAACTCGGCAATCATTACCATTCCAGACTGGGCGAGAAGGACGCTGCATACTACCAAAGTGAGGCTGGACAGCATAAGAATAAAACGCATGTTATCACGAAGCATTGTTATTTTTTTTTATAAGAAGAAGAAGAAACAATCAATTATTGTCTTAAAAATAATTTAAAACGATAAAAGATTTGTGCAAAATTAGTCATAAATAAAATTTTAAATAAAGATAGAATATCTGAAATAGTTATTTTTTAAAAATTTGTTTGTTGTTTATCTTTTAAAGCTATTTGCTTTTGTTTAGTCTGGCACAAGGTCATGTAAATATAGGAGGAAGAAGAAATATTTTTATAAAATCAAATTGAAGTTATCTCAGGGTAATTATTTATATAAATAGAAAACGAGAAAGAAAACAAAGTGGTAACTAAAGAAAAAAGAATATATAGAAACGTGAAAGCGAAAAGAAAAAAAACAAACAAGGAAAAAGAAAGAAAACGGGGAAAATAAGAAAAAAACAATTAAAAGGAAAACAGTAAACAGAACGAAAAAATAAGAAAAAAAGAAAGAAAGAAAGAAAGAAATCTAATCGGTTCTTTTAAAAACTTTTCTAAGGACCTATTTTCCGTTATATCCGAAGTTTGTAACACTTATAAAGAAACATAAAAAAATATAATATGGATAATGTATAAAATATTGTATTAGGTTAAGTGCAATTTGTCTTTTAAAAAGTGAAGGCTTTTTTTTTTTTAAATAATTAGAAGCTGTACAGCAAAAATAGTTGGAAATATTTTTTTAAAGCGATGTTATTTTTTTAAATTTGGTTTCGTAAATTTAAAAATGCTTTTGTAAACTTTAAATATTTTTTTTTCCTTTTTCTTTTTTTTAAACCGCTGATTCATAGGCTTAAAAATGTTATCATAAACTTAAAAAGACACTTTTTTTCATTATCTGTCAGTTGAGATTAAAAAAACAAAAAAACAAAACAGTGAAGTAGTTCATGAACCCCAGTTAAAGTGTTATTTCTTGGAACAACAGATAATTCGTTTGCTCCATTAAAAGAACTGTATTCTTCTTCCATTTTGTTCTTTCAAATCTTTTACAGTATTTTTCTTTTCTTTTTTTTTTTAATTTTTTAAGAATATTTCTTTTCCGACTGAACCGCCGTCTCCAAAAAATTTTGTCCGGAAATATTTTAATCCAAGCAAAAGTCGAACGAAAGTCCCATCTGCTTCTTTCCTTTTTCTCTCCCGGCGTTCCTGGCTTCGATTTTGTTTTCCCAATCCTTTGTGGCAGCTTAAAATTGCCCGTGGGCTGGGGGTGCAAGGCGAAACCATTTCTCCAGAGGGCGTTCTTCTCCTACCCCAGGGACCGGGCCAGCGGTGTCTGCAGGCAAAGAAATGGCAGACGTTCAAGACGCGAGCAGAATTCGATCACGAGTCCAACGGCCGTCAATATATGACCACTGCAGAAAACACGACTGTGGAATGGAGTGAAGAAACATATGCACGGGGGTGGGGAACGAAGAGATATATAGATAAAGAAATAAACTGTAGAAATATGAATGAGAAAAAAAAGGAAATGAAAACAGCATAGAAAAGATTTCAATGATAGTTGGTCAACAGTTGATAGTTTAAATAACCAGAGGCGTAGTCAAGTTCAAGCCAATAATTAAAAAAAATGCTGATTGATGTGAAGGCTGCTCGTTTGCTCTGGAGTTCCGACTTCGATCAAATAAAAAAGAATTAAATTAAGTCATATTTGAAATGTAGCTGTGTACTATCTAGTATTCTTAATACTGACGATTCATTATACCAACACTTTCTAAAAACATTACGACTACTGCTAACACGTTCACATCTACATATATTTTTTCATAGACGCTATCTGCTTCTTCGCCGCGTGCTGAGAGATTGTTGAACAAGACATTTACCACAGTGAAATGAGTTCAATCGTTATAGGGTGCTCTATAAGACTACACCATGTGTCAGGCAAAGTCAATTTTACTAAAAGTTTATATATATATATATATATATATATATATATATATATATATATATATATATATATATGCATTCGTACTGGGATGCGTGGCTTTAAACCCGCAAATATCTAGCCCACTTTTTTTTTTAAATATTTTTTTTTGTTATTGTTGTGTAGACAGTCTTTCTTTGCCAACTGCCTTGAATTTTTTTTTCTGCTTGTCTGTCTGTCTGTCAGCTTATAGACTACACGTTAGGTGCCAACATTCTTTCTGTAAGTGGATGGGTGGGGTTCCGTAACAAAACCTTTTTCCCCAGTTGAGGCAATAAGATTCCAGTTGATAAAAGTAACGTGAGAATCACATTCGAGCGTGACGCCTAGTGACTTCGGTTCTGACTAGGTGCCCCGTCACCCAGTGCCTTACTAAATTAATTACTTTTACGGGCGTCTACTGTAGATTGATGATTACCAAGTTTTGTGGAGCAGTTGACTTATATAGTGAGTTCGAGTCTCACTGAGTACTAGTTTAGGCAAAATATATTAAATATCAAATTAAAAATAAGAATGCAAGAAAAGTGGTAAACGATAAATGGGAAAGAAAGAAAGAAAGAAAGAAAGAAAGAAAGAAAGAAAGAAAGGAACGAAAGAACAAAAAATGTGAAAGAAAGAAAGAAAGAAAGAAAGAAAGGAACGAAAGAACAAAAAATGTGAAAGAAAGAAAGAAAGAAAGAAAGAAAGGAACGAAAGAACAAAAAATGTGAAAGAAAGAAAGAAAGAAAGAAAGAAGTGAAAGAGTAATGCATAAAAGGAAGCGGAGAACATTGAAAGAAAGAAAGAAAGAAAGAAAGAAAGAAAGAAAGGAACGAAAGAAAGGGAGATGATCGAAAGAAAGAAAGAAATCGGAGAAATGAAAGAGTTAAAAAAAAAGAAAGCGGGGAAGATTGATAAAATAAATAAAAAAGAAAGAAAGAACGAACGAAAGAAGGAAATCGAAGAAGTGAAAGAGTAATTATAAAAGAAAGCAGGGAAGAAAGAAAGAAAGAAAGAAAGAAAGAAAGAAAGAGAGAGAGAATGAATGAAAGAAAGAAAGAACGAAAGGCGTGGGAGTGCAAATAAAGAAAGAAATCGAAGAAGTGAAGAGTAATGTAAAAAGAAAATGGAACAGAGTGAGAAAAAAGAAAGAAAGAAAAAACGAAAGAACAAAAGGTGTGTGAATGCGAATAAAGAAAGAAAGAAAGGAAGAAAAGAAGGAAAAAATTAAAGAAAGAAAGAAAGAAAATGAAGACGGAAGAGGGAACAGAAAAAGAAAATGGAAAAGTGAAAGAAGGAAAGAAAAGCAAAATGAAGAAACGAGAGAATAATAGAAAAATAAAATGGAGAAAAGAAAGACAAAAAAGTAACTGATAAACGAAGAAAAAGCTACTATTGCGCCACATTTATGTCCTTGTGCCAGACTAGTCTAAGATCACTAAATATATAGGGAGATGAGAAAATAGAGAAGTGATATGAGAGTTGAAAGAAGAGATGAAAACGGAGAGAGAAAGAGAGATAGTAACATCTCTCTCTCTCTCTTTGTGTATATATATATATATATATATATATATATATATATATATATATATGTGTGTGTGTGTACAGAAAGAGAGAGAGAAACAGGGAGAGGAAGCGAAGAGTAAATGCAAAGGGAAATAAGAGAAGTAAAGATATAATAATAAAGGGGGAAAGTGGGAGAAGAGAAATCCCTCCATTTTCCCTTTAAAGGGATGCAAAGGGAAAAATTATATTTAAAAAGCAATAAGAAAGAAGGAAAAGGAAAAAAAGAGAATGAAATAAAGAAAGAAAGAAAAAAGAAGAAAAAGATAAATCTTTAAAAATAAAGTCAAAAGAAAGAAATGAAAAGGAAAAAGAAACGATAAAAATAAACCAATAAAATGAAAGAAAAACGCTTACAAATAAATAAAGAAAAAGAAAGACTATAAAATAAATAAAGAATAAGGGAAAATATTTAAAAAATAAACAAAAGAGAATAAATAAGGAAAAACTTACCAGTAAATAAAAAACTGAAAAAGATTAAAAATAAATAAATAAAAAATAAAAAAAGTAAACAAAAAACTGAAAAAAGATTAAAAATGAATTAAACAAAGAAGAAAAAATGAATAAAAAACTGGAAAAAAAGATAAAATAAATAAATAAAAAAATAAAAAATAAATAAAAAACTAAAAAAAAGATTAAAAATGAATTTAACAAAGAAGAAAAAAGTAAATAAAAAACTGGAAAAAAAGATTAAAATAAATAAATAAAAAAGTAAATAAAAAATGAAAAAGTTTAAAAATGAATTAAAAAAAAGAAGAAAACGTAAATAAAAAACTGGAAAAAATGATTAAAAATAAATAAATTAATTTAAAAAAAACTGGAAAAAGATTAAAAATAAATATGGCAAATGAAAAAAAGTAAATAAAAAACTGGGAAAAGATTAAAAATGAATAAAAAGGAAGAAAAAGTAAATAAAATCTGGAAAAAGATAAAAAAGAAAGAAGAAGAATAAAAAAGTAAATCAAAATCTGGAGAAAGATAAAAAAATAAATAAATCAAAAAGAAAAAATTAAATAAAAACTGGAAAAAAGACAAAAATAAATAAATAAAAAAGTAAAAAAAATAACTGGAAAAAGATAGAAATAAATAAAGAAAAAAGAAGAAAAAACGAAAAAATAAATAAATGAAAAAGCTGGAAAAAATTGAAAATAAAGAAAAAAGATTAAAAAATAAAGAAATAAAAAAGAATAAAAACGATTAAAAACAAAGAAAAGAAGAAAAGAAAAAGAAAAGTAAACAAGTAAATAAAGAAAAAAGAAGAAAAGGGAAAAAAAGCACTGAAAGTAATACCCAATCAATATATTGGTTGACTCAGAAGTAATAATTCGATATTTCAGAAGAGTTACACTGCATCTATATAGATTCTTATAAATGCAGAAACATTTGTAAAGTGTTGCTTTATGAATGGATTTAGAAACTTATGAAGGACGTTTGTGACGGTGGAGGAGTTGGGGGTCTGGCACCACGATAACAACCTCGACGAAGATATGTACAAAGAGTAAAAACAGGCGGCAGAGAAATACACAAGATATTACAGAGCATCATTCTTTTTATTTTTGCTTTTTTTTAAAGAGTTCAAAACCAACATAAAATCAAACGCATTTTTTTATGATTGTCTAGTAAGAAAAATATCCAAACTTTCAGCTCATTTTTGACTATTCTTTTTTCTTCTCGTTCAGTTTGATCGTTTTCTTTTTCATCTTTTTTTTGTGGGCGGGGCGCTTGATAGTGGCATAAATATTGGGCCATTTAAATGAAAGTGGTTTTGTATATTGCGTTTAATGTTTCCTTTAAGGACTCTTTAATACTGAATAATTTCGTTTTTCAATTTCTCCTTTCTTTCTTTCGTTCTTTCTTTTTTTTTTTCCCCCTTTTCGTGATTTTCCCTTTTCTCAACTTCTCCCTCTTTCGCGCTGCACTCTTCTCTCTCTTATTTTCGTTCTCGTTTTTTTTTTCTGCTTTCTTTCTTTGTATACTTTTGTTCTTTTTCGCTACTTCTTGCCTTTCTTTTTCGATTTCTTCTCTTCTTTCTTTCTTTTTTTTCTTTTAATGTTTTTCTTCATTTTTTTTCCTCAACTTCTCCTTTTTCTTCTTTGTTTTTTTTATTTTCATTCACTATTTTTCACTTTTTTCTTTCTTTCTATAGTTTTTTTTTCTTTTTCGCTACTTCTCCACTTTCTTTTTCGATATTTTTCAATTCTTTCTTTCTTTCTTTCTTTCCTTCTTTCTTTCTTTCTTTCTTTCTTTCTTTCTTTCTTTGTAGTTTCATTTTTTTCGCTACTTCTTGTATTTTTTTTCTTTTTTTTTTCTCTTTTTAGTTGTTTTTTTTTCTTTCTTTACGTTATCTTCTGCTACTTAATCTTTCTTTCTTTCTTTTTCGTGTTTGAGATTTCTTTCTTTCTTTTTCATTCTTTTGTCTGCTTCTTTCTTTCTTTCTTTCTTTGTACAGTTTCTTTTACTTTTTTTCGCTACTTCTTACTTATACCTTTCCCGTATTGTTCTCTTTTTTCTTGCTTTTTTTTATCTTTACGTTATCTAGCGCTACTTAATCTTTCTTACTTTCAATCTTTCTTTTTCCTGTTCGAGAATTGTTTCTTTCTTTCTTTTTTCATTCTTTGTTTACTTCTTTCTTTCTTTCTTTCTTTCTTTTTTCTGTTTCTTTTTTCTTTGTTTTGCTATTTTCTTTTGTTTCTAACTTTGTTTGTTTGTTTCCTTCTTTGTTTCTTTCTTCCGGTAGTTTTCTGTTTCAAGTTTCGTTTGCTTCTTTGTTCCACTATTTTCTGTTTCAAGTTTTCTTTCTTTCTTTCTTTCTTTCTTTCTTTCTTTCTTTCTTTCTTTCTTTCTTACCAGTTCCGATTATCAGTAGATTTTCTCATGTTCTTTGTA